TATATATATATATATATATATATATATATATATATATATCCAAATTTGGCTGGATTCAGCCGGCACGGCGATCTTAGTTTACCCTTTTTTTCATTTTCTTTCTCTTTTTTTCAGTTTCTTTTCCTTTCTTTTCTTCTTCTCTTTTTTTTTTTTTTTATATATTGTCCCTTTTTTTTGATTTTCTCTTTTTTTATTATTTTATTGTGGTTGTTTTAACAAAATTGAAACTTACATTCTTCATTTTTCTTTTTCTTTTTCAGGGATTCAACGTTTAAAGCAAGTCAAGGATTTTGATGTTTGAGATTTCATTGAAATAGAATTTAAATTTTCGTGTTGCAATTATTTCAGAACAAACTCAAAATTTCAAACAATTTCATGTACATTAAGGATCAAGGATTGCCACCTTTTGCCGTCTGAGGCATTTTATGATGAGAACCAAGGACTGACTTCTTTAACCGTCCAAGGCACGTCGTGTTGAGGACCAAGGACCGACTCATTTGACCATCCAATGCATTTTTTATTGAGGACCAAGGAGCTACTCCTTCGACCGTCCAAGACACTTTGTGTTGAGGACTTAGGACCTATTCCTTCGATCGTCTAAGGTATTTTGTGTTGAGGACCAAAGATCGATTTTTTCGACGATCCAAGACACCTTGTGTTAAGGACCAAGGACTTGTTCTTTTGACTGTCCAAGGCACTTTGTGTTAAAAGCCAAAGACATGTTCCTTCGACCGTCCAAGACACTTGGTGTTGTGGACCAATGACCGATTTCTTCAACCGTTCAAGGTACTTTGCATTGAGAACCAAGAATCGACTCCTTCGACCATCAAGACACTTTGTGTTGAGGACCAATGATCAGTTCCTTCGACCGTCCAAGGCACGTGTATTTAGGACCAAAGGCCGGCTTCTTCAACCGTCTAAGAATTTTTGTGTTGAGGACCAATGATCGATTTTTTCGACCATCCAACGCATTTTGTGTTGAGGAACAAGGACCGGTTCATTCGATCGTCCAATGCATTTTGTGTTGAGGACTAAGGACTGGTTCATTCGATCGTCCAATGCACTTTATATAGAGGCTATTTACATATTTGGGAGGCTTATGATATTAGACATAAATGATTTTAACAGATTTACTGCCCATTTAATAATATTCTCTTTTTTTTTTTTTTTTGCTAATTGTTTTTGCAGGAATGGCTAGACAATATCTAATAATCGAGTGTATCATAATATACATGAAATTGCTTAGCTTAAAAATCAAGGTAAAAGTTACCTTCATTTCAAAGACACTGATGTGAGATACAATGCTGGCCTACGAGATGAACTTAAATTTAGCATTCATATGTCAACGACAGATCCTTCTCCTAACCTCCTGGAGTCATTGTCGAAGTTGCATATACCCACCATCAGTGAATGTCACGAGACTCTAGATATTGTCAAGTTCAACCGCTCTAGCAATTATCTTTTCTTTTTTATCTTCCGCCTCACCATTCCCAGAGCATAGAGTGCATTCCAAGGGTCATAATTTGCGAAAGGATTGACAATAAAGAATAAGACGGGAAAGTGCACTTATCAGTCGGGAAAGATGTTTCTAGATCTTCAAGAATTTATTGAAAATTTGATTTGTTAGGACCTGACTTATTTGGCACTTGAATTCTGAAGCTAAAACTTGGGCTTGAATTTGATTTAATTTGAAGAAGATTTTGATCTTCTTGAAGTTCACCGAATTTAGATTTGGGAGGATTTCTTTTGTTCCTCTGGCCTTGATATTTCTTTAACACTTCGTGATTATCTTCTGATCTTTCACTTTTTCCTCTATTTTATGGACCATTGGTCCTATTTACAAGGAAATTTTTGTGACCAATTTTAGTGACCATTCAATTCTTTAATTAAAAGGAATAATTGAATAATTATGATTTTATTTATTTATTTATTTGTTTAAAAAAAATGAGATGGCCTTTGAATTTTACAAACCTTAGTAGACTTCAATTTAATTAGGCTAATTATTTAAAACGACACAACCCATTTTATTTATTTATTATTTTTTATGTCTAGAAATTCTCCCTCAAGATTTATTTATTTATTTATTATAAATAAATTAATAAATATTGATTTTCGATTTTTTCTAATTCAATTTAGAATTTGATTTTAACTCAAACTTCCCATTAGTAAATTAATACAAATGAAAAATTTGAGAATAAAATGTGAATTTGATTTTATATAAAATTATTATCCTTCAAATTTAAGAACAAAGATTTTTTTTTCATGAAATGATGTTAGATTATTTATTTATTTATTTATTTTATACAATCCATAACAAATTTATTTTTTAACAGGCTTTTTATTTTTCATGGTAAGTTGGGCTTGAGGGAAATTTGATATCTACCTATTTATATGAACAAATTATAAGATTTGGAATCAAATATCATTAATGTGCAAACGAAGGTAAATATATTCTCTCTCTCTCTCTCATTTTTTTAATAATGTTTCTTGGTTTCTCATTGGCAGCTGAAACCAAATAAACCAATCTTTGTCGCAAAAACCAACTGCCGTTGCAGAAAACTTTAATTTTTTTTTAATTTTTTTTTACATCAATTTCAACTCTTTTTTTAATATATCTAAAGTTGGCTGTATAATACAGTTGGGGCGATGGTCTTGGTTTACCTTTTTTATTTCTTTTCCTTTTTCTCTTTTTTTTTTTTAGTTTCTTTTCTTCTTTGTTTTTCTTTTCTTCCTCTCTCTCTCTCTCTCTCTCTCTCTCTCTTTTATATTGTCCCTTTATTTTGATCCTTTCTTTTTTT